TGGAATTAAAAACGGAAAATTACGTAACAATAAACTACAGCACAGCTGTTTACCATTTATGGTGAATGTCAATTGTAAATTTGTAAAATAAGTTATACAAATAAATAAACAATTTTTGAGAAGGTTTTCTAGTTTTTTTTTTTTTTTACAGACAGTTTCAAATTTCAGCTTGGTCATTCACAGTGTTTAGCTGTTTATTTAGCGCTTAAGAAATAGACAACAGTAGGAAAGAATTGATGGTCTGAAATCAGCTGAAATTAGTAGAAGTGATGTCTTGTATAGGTTCAGTTGAGAGCAGTACCGCACGTCGACGATCTGTCGCCTGTACAGAATGCAACTTTGAACAGCCAGTTTTCTATTAAAGTCAACTTTTCAAGCGGAAGAAGAAAACATCTTTTTTTTGATGTTTAGGGTATTCAAACAGAATAAAGTTAAAAAGTAAAGTTCTTTGGTGTTGTTTATTTTTATTTTACACCGCTTCTTTGTCACTAACTAAACTGGTAAAAGCAAAAAAAAAAAAGAAGGAACGAAACGGTGATAAACAGGTAAAAAACTTTTTTAGACAGTTGTAGATCAACGCCAAAAAAGAACTGTTTCCTGACTTTGCTCATTTTTTTCTGTTCTCGTTATTCCCTTGTTTTTCCCCTAAAATCGAATGATGTGACACTCATAGAGCAGAAATAACAAAAGCAGCCATATATTTACACTAGATCAAACGTCACTTGTATTTGTATTCAGTTCTAAAGTTCATTAAGAGTATAAAGTGCAAAAAATCTATTTTTTTCTTTGAAATTATAGCTTCATTTGTCACATCCACATTAAGTACGGATGCGGTGTTGCGTCATCGTTGTTTTCTTGTAGACATCGGTTGAAGCCATTTAGGATGATTTTGGAAACAAAGCACTGCTTCAGCTTTGGCTTCAACAACAATCATAAATAACTGAATTCCACAGAGTTCAATGTTTTCACAGTTATCTTCAGTTTGTAGCAAGTTTGTTTCAACATTTTGGTAAACTTAAATAAAAATTATAACTGTACCAAGAACTGTGCATTATTCAGCTTATTAGCTTTGCAAGTTTTTTCTTTCCCCGTAACTTGTACAGTTTCACTGGATTGTTGCGCTTCACTGGTGTTTGATGTTTGAATAAGTTACATATCTACGAATAAGATTCACCAATTCCAACAAAATTTGAATATAGACAGGTTTTCTGGTTCTTTGGCTTCCAATCAACTACCGGCCTGGTAGAACAAAGCTTAAAAACTTTTTCATCTTCCTCTTAAACATCAGAATTCATTCTAAATGTCAAATATTAAAACATCAGAATCAAAATCAAATCAAAACTTCAAAATCACCAATTTTCCATTATTTCCTCTCCTTCCTCTCGTCTGTAACCTTTCGCAAAGTGACAATTATATATTAAAACAAATTCTTGCCACAAATCGTATTGCACTATTATTTCAGTTGTTTCTTTCATCTCTTTTTTATCACCTTACTTCATAACAGTTGTTTACCAGAAACATGTATTGTACAGCTGAGAAACTGATTCAACAGAATATTCTGTTGTATTAACTGTTCCTTTTTCAAAATCGACAACAAACGTCACGTGAAATGTGTAGGGAGTAAGGAGTTTGCAATAACAAATTCTGTTAAATTGCATCAACACGACACTTTACGCAATTAAATCACTTAGTTATAGCAGTAAGTAAGGAAATGAGATAAAAAAGATACATTGACATATACGAACAATCAAAAAAGAAACTTATAAAAATATATCAAGAAGTGAACGATTTAGAGTGATTTTGCTTTTTTTTAATTTCGTTTATTAGGTCCGTTTACTCACACGAACCGCATGTGTATACATGCAAACATGGGGAAACTAGAAGGCTGGAATGAAGTTCGAGACGGCAACTAGTCAGCAGGATAAAATTACGAAACCTCGACTGACGAACATTCACTGCACTACCTTTCAGACGAATTCGTTGTTTGGGTTCAATAAACCAGTCGTTGGAGATGAAAGAAACAGATTCTTCTAACATGTGTTTTATATGTAGTCTTAATAAAGAAACACTTATCATCAAAACAAACTTCATAACTTTATCCTTACTGTATCTTGATGTGCTGACAAAAATGATTCAATTTCTTTGTTTTCTTCACCGTTTCCAACGACTTTTAAGCCTCACTGGCAATCAACGAAAAAAAAAAAAACTGAGCCAAAAAACGCTATTGAATTCCGTGTCGCAACTGTCCGACCATTCACGAAATCTGCACAGAATTGACCAAAGTCTAAACTTATTATTTTTTTGGTATCGGTTCTACTGGTGACGTATCAGGCCTTAAAATGGTACTGGTACAAAATAACTGTACAACTGTTTTACATATGCATCAAACATATCGCTGGATCAGTAATACTGAGTAGTATCAGACGGTTCTCCTGAATTCACTTGTAAAAGAGTTCAACGACTAACAAATGAATACTGGATAACATTTATTCAAGATCGAGAAATTCAAATTGAACAAATAATTAACAAGAATTTTATTGCACGTGACCAGCATTCATTTCAAAATGAATAAAATCAATAAGCAACAATGATAGATAAGACATAAAAAAAACCAAAAAAGTAAGACAGTTGTATCTGGAATGATCCTTTCCTTCTATAACGGTAAAGCAAAACAAATAATTTAGATGGTGAAATTACTTCGTGAAGTAAAAGCAGTTTAAGACCCATCTTACACACAACAATGGGTTAGTATAAAGAAAGCATACAGAATAAATACATAAACACTATATACCATTAATTTAGACAGTTTTTATGGACAATAAGCAAAAAAAAACAACAAAAAAAAAGACAAGTAATCACCACCAACACTTTTGAATCTCCCCATCCCTAAGCATATATGCACTCTTTTTGCCTCTTCACTTCTCGCTACCATTTTTTTACACTTCACATCCATTTGCACTGCTTTAAAGCCAAAACGGAGGCATAATACACCCAATAAGTCAAAAATCATCGTACATCAATGGTTAGCCTTATAGACTGACTAGCAAAAGGATATCTGCACACAACAATTACTTTTTTCAAATATGACAGTCAACTGAGTTAAAAAAAAAACACCCAAAAAAAATCCACACTTTCAGAACATCATCAAAATTCAAAAAATTTTTTTTGCTGTGATTTGCTAAGAAGCAATTCAAAACTACAAATTTACAAGATGAGTTATTTTTTTAAAATGCAGAGTTATTGTCTCTACAACGAAAGGCATCGTACAGTTAGAGAATGTCAAGAGTGTGAAATTGACTGCAAATCAAAAAATAACCGACACTGCTTATCAAAAAAACGAAAAGTAATAAAAAACAAACAAGCAATTTACTTTTCATTTAGTTTACTAAAAATGTAAAAAGAAGACTTTTTTTTTTCTTTTTGGAAAGTTAGGGAGAAAAGAGGAGATAAGCGGAGGGAGGTGGAAAAGAACCATCGACAATGATAGCGAAAACATGATTACTTAATCAGCTGGTCAATTCGCCTGTGTTTCTTCTTTTCTGCTCTAGTCATTCTTTTTTGCATGCTGACTAAAGTCAACTGCAAAAGAAACAGTCTGAATTTACTTTAACATAGGTTAACTGTCATCATTATCACCAACTTCGGCGAACAACCATCTATATAAAGCCAGAAAACCCGTACAGGTATTTTCAAAAAAAAAAAAAGCAATAAGCGGAAAATATAGCTAAAAAATTAAAAAAGCTAAAACTTTCTCAGCCTCCTTCCAAATCCATATAAATTTCCTCATCAAACTCCCTCCTTTTTAGATCGCTTACTCAACTGCTGAATACAGCAGAATAGGCAAAAGGAGTAGTAGAAAAGAGGCCATAGAAACTGTAGGATGAGGTGAACAGATAGTTTACCATTTTTTTTCGTTATTTAATCCCAATACCACATTCAATACCAATATAAAGTAGATCAAAAGTAAAGCCAAAAAGAAGAAGCAGAACTAATAATTAAATGAAACGATTCGAGCATATTCAAATCTGTGAAACAATTCAAAAGGTAAAAGTGTTTAAAAAAGAGCGTTCCGTACGCTAAACAAAAAAAAAAAAACAATTTTTTGATATTTGCATTACTGTTCCTTTTTTCTGTTCTTCTCCTTCGTCTTTTTCTTTTAAATGTCAAAAAATGATTTACAATTTTAAAGCTTAAGCAAAATATATATATATATATATATA